TTACATGCCCTCAAAAGTGCTACCAGTCTTTCAAGGCTTAGATGATTGCTAGCATCCTACAGTATTTCCTTCATGACTAAACTGGAAAAGTTTACTTGTTTTATCTATTTAACACTTATTACAGCATTTCCATGTCAGGGAATCTCCTCTCTCAAACTTTACTGCATGCTTTTTTAGTGGACTGACTTTACAAAGAAGTCTTAAAGGTGTGCTGATTGATACAAACCAACCAACAGACATTGAATAAGCAGAGACTGTGTTTAAGACATTGTGTCAGGTAGGCATTGGTCAGGAGACAGAAATAAGTCACTGCCTTGCCCTCTGTAATTTACAGTCTAGTGATAAAGCTAGAATTAAGTACATTCATCTTTGTTGTCCTAGATATTAAAATAAAAAAACTAATGGGGATCAAAGGAAGGAAAAAACGATATCAGGGAAGATTTTGTTGCAAACCACTTTATAAAGTGTTTCTGAATGAATAGTGTTGTTATTCTTACAGCAACTGCCATTATTAGTTTTGTTGCTAGGAGCAATGTATATTTTGACAGTTCTAGAAAAGTCACTTATTTTCTTTATCATCACTTAAGAAATTATCTTTTGTCTGTGTCAAACCTGTGAAGGGCCAGAGATTTTATCTTGCTTTCAAGACAGGTTAGCCTGTCACAAGTTTCACAAATAGATTAGACTCATGGGTCAGAAAACATTAGACTCCTGGGGTCAGAGATAAGAGACTCATGGCATAGCAGGCAGCAAGACATTCAGTGTCCTTGTCCCTTTTGTTTTACAAGGTGTGAGCCTAGGTAGATATTGCACACTAAGTGGATGTGTGTTCATCTGAGGAACCTTAAGCTTTAGGAAACTTCTTAGTCTTACAAGGGGACAAATATTTACAACCTTGTCTACAGGTAGACATTATCTTTATTATTCTGGTCAGTAAACAAAGTTTTCATTTGTCCTGGAGGAAAATTCTGTCTCTATCTTTCCAGGGTATTTGAAAAACTATTCTGGACCAAAACCTATCAAAGTATGTTAAACAATGCTATAAAGAATTGTCCTCCAAACAGTGTCTTTAAATCATCTTGAAAATAATCCTTATGAAGTTATGACTTAGGGGGATACAGGATAATATATTATAAAATTATAGTTAAAAAGGTCATCATTTTACATAATAAAGAGAAATGAGGAAAAAAAGGATGTTAATATTCTAAAAAAAATCAGAGCTCTGCATCTTGTAAGTTAAGTGTGTTATGAATATAATGCATTATTTGGAATTATGGATGAGATGTTCCCCAATTTTTTCATATTAAAAAGGAGTTATTCATGAAACTCTTTCCAATGTTAGATGGTCCTAAAATGAATTTGTATTTTGTTTTAAAGATATACACATGTGTATATACAATCTATATATACATGCACATGTTCTAGCATATCCATTTGAATAATTTATGCACCCACTTTAAAATCATAATTACCAAACCAAAATGCATCTGAAGTTAGAATGGATCTTAGAAATCATTTGATAAAATCTAGATCTCAGTACAAGAATATTTTTCCAAATTAATCGGGTAAAGTTTGCAAACTCTGCTGCTTCACGTCTAGGACCCTGTCCCATAATAGTGTCAGTGACTTTCCTCAGGCTTTTGAAAGAATGAAATCTAACGTGGCATTGAGTGACATATTTTCTAAATCATACATGATCCACTGGTGGATTCGTTGCTAAAAGCAACATCTATTCTAGGATTTTATGTGTGTGCTTTTGTTTTTATTTAACTTAGTTTTCCTTTCTATCTCCATATTGTTAGTATGAAACTCTTTGGGCTTACTGCATCAATAAGAACATCAAAGTAATATTTTATACCTATAATTCAAGACATAGAGTGCTTTTTGTATTATAATAAATTCATTCATATGGTGATTATCATAATAAAATACGATTATCACCACTTTTATAAATTCCCAAAATTATCAGGGACTGGACTTGACCATACAATGTGTAAGTTAAGCAGTCACTTCTGGAACATAACTGTCTTACCTGATATTTTATGGGCCACAGGTTTTAAAAATAGCTTAAGTCTTGAACATATTTGGAATTCAAATGTAAACACCGATTTCAGAAACTAAAATATCTATATGAATTATTCAGGTAAAAGATTAGTTTGAGGTAAATCAGGGAGTACCTGTCCCATTGAAAGAAAACTTCAGGTTTTCAGTTCTAGAGTAAATGCCACACAGGAATACGTGCCCAATGTTGCTTTTCTTCAGATTTTTCTAAAGAAATTAGCAATCTGGATTTTTATGCAACAATTTTTATTTTTGAATGTGGTCACTAACTCAAAAATAATCATGGTTTTCTCACTAAATAATAAAAAAATACCTCCAGTCAGCAACGTATAATATTTTTATTTGATAACCAGCATGTCTTTCCAGGTTGACAGTGCATAGGACAGAATGGTGATACATCAGGGTAGGGAAGACATAAGATAATAGAGACCTTAAGGGAACAAACAAATTGTCACAGATAAGAGAAATGTCTGACTTACTGGCATGTGCTTAGCAATAGAATCTAACAACAGTAAACATTGACACCAATTAGTCTAAAAGGCAATACCCGAATCCTTCTCAATCAAGGATCTTGAGGACTCCTAAGCATCCTGAGGAGGAAGAGGCAATTTGTAAATATATCAGACATATTTTGAAAGGCCCGTACTACTTGACTGGGAAATTTCTACTCCTTCATCAGAATGTTAACTTGACAATGGAAAATGATTGCCTCCAAGAAAAACGAACTGAAACGCTTCTTAGGTAGCCTGGCTTCAATGAAGGCAATGATATAAAAACTATTGGATGTGTTGGTGAGAACCAACATGCCTCATAGATAAAATCACTAACCAGCAGAACCCATGACTGATATCTTAGTATGAGGTGGTGCTCCCAGAGAATTCTGAGAGAAACCCGAGAGAGGAGACTGACAGCTTTTGCAGTTTGGTTGGGGTGGGGGGTGATTAATCCCGCAGATGTAGAGATACACAGTTTTAACTAGGAGACTTAAGCTTTGAGGCACAAGAGACATTTGGGAATGTACCAGTTGCTACTGTTACTCACCTATAGACCTACTGCACCTATAGACCTACTGCATTATGGGTTTGCCTAGAGAAATATAAGTTTAAAAAAGAAAAGTTCCCTAGATAATTCCACATCTTTGATAAAGTTGTGATAAGGATTGCATTTGATATTGTATTTAATGTGCTTGGCACAAAAATTAGAGTATTTGATAATGCCAAGTGAGTTTATGGGAGTATAGAATTACCGGTATAGACATGCTGCCATTCTGGCAATCATTCTTGCACTACATTCACAGATTCGATATATATTTATCCTAAAATCCTTCCTGGATGTATATATCAATGATATTCTTACACAGATACCAAAAGGGAATGTGCAAAAAGGTAACCATGTTTGATGTTGTGGAGACATAGAGGCAATCTGGACATCAATCTCTGTGAGTATAGATAGGAAAATGTGCAGAATCCATTCCGGAACATTATGAATAAATCAGAAAAAACAGACTGCGTATGTACATAGGACGATTGAGGGATCTAAAAAACCTAGTTCTTAGTAAAAAAGATAAGAAAGAGATATGATATGAAATTCAATGCTATTTACATACATTAGAAATATATACTACGCCTTTGGGAGGCTGAGGTGAGTGGATTGCCTGAGCCCGCGGGTTCGAGACCCGCCTAGACAGGCGAGACGTCATCTCTACAATAAAATCAAAAAATTAGCCGGGCGTGGTAGCGAGTGCCTGTAATTCCGGCTACTCGGAAGGCTGAGGCAGAAGGATCGCCGGAGCCCAGCAGGTAGAGGCTGCGGTGGCTGGCAGCGGCCACTGCACTCCAGTCTGGGCGAAAGAGTGAGACTCCAACTCAAAAAAAAAAAAAAAAAAAGAAAGAAATATATGCATAAAAAGCAATAGTGTATACTTTATAAGAATATATACAAACAAAGTACCTAGTAACTATACAATAGTTGCCTCCTGAGAGAATGAAAATAGAACATGGAGTGAGGGGGGGATAATTAATTAATTAAAATAAGAGAAGAACTTTTTAAGACTGATGATGATAATGAATTATGATTTAGTAGTATAATAAACTGAAATCTCTGCACATAAGTTTATAAAAGAAAATAAAGAAAAAAATAGTTATCAAAATGCCTGGCACATAATATGAACGGTCTATAGTTTAAGCAAAAGAAGGAACAAAAGGAGTCTAAAAAAAAAATGATAAAGAAAACAATTTCTTTCAGAAATGAATCAAGTGCACAGACAGAAAGTTGTAGAACCAGTTAACAAGTATTGATTTCTGCTTGTGGTCTCAGCAAAGTGTTAAGTTCTTCTGAAGGTGAAAAATAAATATTTGATGTATTCTCTCTCTTTAAGTAAGAAATCAACAAATTTGAAATATAACGAAAACTTTCTGAAATCCAGTTGGAAACTGGGAGATTAAACAATGTTGTAAGAAATAATACCGAGAGGTAGTGTGATGTTTTACTGGGTGATAAATTTTAAATCAGTTTTTAAAGAATCATTCATCCTTTAATTCCTTTATGCAGCTAACATTACTGAGAGCTTACCACACCCCACCTTCTGTGCTACATGGTAAAAATGCAAAGGAAACTCTAGGAGGTACTTGAACTAGAAGGGCAGACAAGTCAAGTATGAGGAAGGGTTGAATAAGATATGACTGTCCTCTGAAGGGTTGAGACTTGAGGTGAGCCATCAAAAAGAGTTTAAGAAAAAAAAAAAGACTTAGCATAAAGTAAAAACTCAAAGATGAGTTACTTAATTATGCACATAATTATGTGAAGAAGACAAAGTCTTATTTTATCTTCTCACATTAGAACAAATTGGAGTATTGGATTGTAGAAGAAAATGAAATGGTTTTCAGTGTGGTTTATTTTTATATGCATTTACCATAATAGTACATTATCTTTTATTTTAGATACACTGGCCTAGTACATCTCTAAAAATAGAAGAATGCATAATGAAAGGAAAAGATGCGGTAAGTATTATTTAATGTAAAAACAAATCATCAATTGTATTCCTGCCAACCACAAAGGACTGAATCATTGAACTTTTATTTGCTCTTATAAAAGGATATAAGCAATTTGGTTCAGGGAGAAAATCATACATATATACATAGATATAATACATATAGTTATATAAAATTAATTTTAATGAAGAGTTAAAGGGAGCTGAGGTGCCATTCAGATCATATTTTTTACTTTGTTTTATTATATTTTAATCAACTTAGATTAAAAATTTGTTATATGAATTATTATTTCCTATGTCTTTGAAAGAAAAACAATTTCTTTTTTAATTCCAAGAAAAGTTAAGCATATTATTTTGAAATTTCATTTCACTTTGATTAGCAAATTAGAAACAAATCAAGAAACAAAAAGAGAGAGAACAAAAAGCTTGAGAGAGGCAATAAATATGTTTTACCTCTTCCAAAATGTTTTAAGGGTGTCTCCCACTTAAATAAGCATCCACAGCATCCCCGACACGACCCCTATCACACTAAAACATTAGTGACAGGACTTTCACATACTAGGAGGAGTCAGCTAACCTGGTGACACAATATGCATCTTGGAGCAAGACCTGGGTATCTGCTTTTGAAAGTGAACTTACCCTTTTTTCAATAAGAAAAAAAAAAAACATGTAAAAGATTAACACACATTATACCAACTGGGTCACAACCAAAGAATGAGTCATCACATATTGTTGCCTTATCCCACAGCGTGATGCCTATTGAACATACTCTTAGGCCGTGTCACTCTAACTCAACTGAGCCAAAGTGTGGTCTAATTGACTCATTTTAACATGTGACATTGTGTCAAGAGAGCAAAAGCAATTGCTTCATTGCAATATGAGAACCAGACATTTTCAGCAGATTCTACTAACTGTATCTGATTCTATCAACTATATGTGTCCCCCACAAAATAAAATGTCACGTGAGTGAAAAATTGAAGAAATAAATATATCTGTGTGTCCTGGATAATCAGTCCAGTTATTATCTGAATCATGTATGGTGAAGTGATTGTGATGGCCTTTTCCTCCTAATACTATTATATGAGAGACTTTAAAGTGTTGAAATCACAACCTGTTCTTATAAAACATGACATTTACTGATTATCACATGTATTAATTTTAATATGATATTTGGCATTAAAAGAGTTTAATATTCTTTCATAATTTAATGGAATAGCACCACCTAATTTCCAAGGGAATGTTTGGTAGAATTAATTTAACCAAGTTGGTTTTGAAGCAATTATAAACTTTTTTTATCCATTCATGATACTGATTATAAAACTCACCTAGTGACTCATGTATTATAACTTTGATAAGTATGTAATATGTAATAAGTAAGTAATGTGTTGAATTAATTAATTGAGGAATGCAAAGATGTGAAAAGTAAAGATTCTGTCCTCGAGAAGCTTATAGTTGAATACCAGTGTTGACAAACCAGAGCTTCTAGAACAAACGTGGCCTGTACTTATTCTTGCAAATAAAGTTTCACTGGAACATGACCACACATGCCTTTTTATATTGCTTATGACTGCTTTCATGCTATACCTACAGAGGTAAATGCTTTCAACAGATAGCAGATAACTCCTCAAACTAAATATAGTTACAATCTGGTTCTATATAGAAAAATTTTGCTTATCCCTGTACTATTACTATTTTCTCATAGTAATAGTTTTCGTATAGTAGTCTTGCAGTAAAATGTTATTTTATTTGTTTTCTTTTCTATTTACTAAAGAATGATCTCTGAAAGTGCTATATGTGAATCTGTGAAGTTGAGGATATAAGACTCATTTTCGCAAATGTTAAAATTCTGTTTGCCTTAAAGACGAGACGACATGTTTCCTTATGAATAGGGAAGCTTTTTCCAATGATTTGTTTGCTGACTTTACACTGATTCATTGTTTATACTGTACTTGAAAAAATAGCACCATTGAGAATAACTTAATTACTTAATGGAACATATTGCCATGGAAATCTTTATGCTTGAATACATTTCTGAACAGTGCTTTTTAATTCCTCAATTGTGAACTAGAATACATAAAGCATGATACACTCCCCTTATAAAATGCGAGTCTCACATTGCTGTTAACTAAAATGTGTCTTGGTCACCCCAATTTCTTCTTCTTCAGATTCTTGTCCTCTTTTTATCTGTCCCTCTTGCTTCTTCCACCCAAGGGAGATTTATGATGAAACATGAGGTTTCTAGGGTTAAGAAAAACAAAAGTGCAAAAAAGGCAAAATATTTTAATTATAGTGTTTTTTTTTTTTTTTTAATCCCTACTTTAGAACGAATGTGCAAATTACGTCCGGGTTTTGCATCATTATAACAGGACACACCTTCTAATCTGTGGTACAGGAGCTTTTGATCCACTTTGTGCTTTCATCAGAGTTGGCTATCATTTGGAGGTAAGATTGTTTCATTCATTGCTATCTATAAAAGTAATGCTTAAAGCAACTTCATTTCAAAAGAAAAATTGTGGCATTTCTTTCCAAGAAAGATAAAAGCATCTGTGATGTACTGACTCTGTTTGCTTTAGACAGAGAAATGATCACTTTGGGGCTTTAAAATTCTTGTCAGCTATAAAATCTGTGAGCCAATTAATTCTCTTTGCACTCATTCACTGAACAATTTTATTTGCTTAATTTGCCCACTTAAAAAAATTTCTTAACATCAAACTGTATTCTTTATTGTGATATATTGATATTTTTGGAATCTAACCACCAACTCAAATGTGTGTGTGTGTGTGTGTGTGTGTGTGTGTGTGTGTGTGTGTGTGTGTGTGTGTATGTATGAGGGGGGACCCAAGAGAACCAAGAATTTATTTCTTAAAAAATTGTATTTTTTTCTTACATGTTTAAACAAACTTCAGTCGCCTTCAAAGTACTCTCTACACTATACCTATGGAAACAATTTTTTTCACTGCTCAAAAGTTTTTGAACTTATCAATTTTAATGCCTTTTAGTTCTTCTGCTGTTTTTTGTTTCATCTCTTCCACATTGGCAAAACATTTCCCTTTGAGCACTATTTTCATCCCCAAGAAGCAAACAAAAAAAAGTGGCCCGGGGTGAGATCAGGTGAGTAGGGAGGGTGGGGTGTGGGGGTCGTACTGTTTTTGGTCAAAAACTGCTGCATGCTAAATGTGGTGTGGGCAGGCGCACTCCTAAACCACCCATTATGAAATGGCCAAACAAGTTGAAAGAATCTCAAAAAAGAAAAAAAGTCACTGAAGCTGGTCTTGGCCTCATACAGCAATGTTAGCTTATACCCTGATGCTGATAGATTCCTAGAACATTAACCTGGCAGGGGAAACCTGTACTATAAGGTGCCCACACTCCAAAAAATAATTGGATTTTTGGGGGGTCGGGGATTCACCTTCATTTAATTCATATAAATGAAATATCGTATTTTTACGAAGAACGTTCAAAGACTTTCTGATTCTGTAATCACTATTTCCAAGCCAAGTGAGTTAGGGAGTGCAGGAGGAGAGACGATTCGCTGATTTAAGATTAAAAAAATACGCCTCAGCCGGACTCGGTGGCTCGCCTTTGGGAGGCTGTGGTGAGTGGATTGCCTGAGCCCGCGGGTTCGAGACCCGCC